AGTGCGTACTTTTCATATGCGTTATTTTAATCTGTCATCCCATAAAAGTGGTTGTGCAATAAACCTTGCACACTGAGTCTGATTGACTGTTTCATTGCTCTATTGATTTGCTCCCTTGCTCTGCTCCACTGGAAGGACCTCCCTGGCTGTCACCACTCTCTACCATCTTACATTTGGCACCGCGGCTACCTGACAGAGCTGAGCTGTCCTCCCTCTCTGTCTCCACACTGCCTCTCACTCTCTGTCTGTGTGCGGTCCTCATCCTCTATTAAATCCTCCCCCTCCTTCGTCATCATTATCCACCTGAATATTATTATCTTACAAGGCTATCTGAGTTATGATACTGTGCACCCTATTCCTCTCTCTTGCTGCAGATGTGTGCATCTTGCAGGATACACCACATTTTCTTCACTGCTTTTTGGTCAAACAACTCTCTAGGCATTAACAGACGTAACAAAACTCAGAAAATCAAACCTGTTCCAGAAACTTTAATGACGGACAAAAGTTTTGAGGTCAATGTTTAAACGTTATTGACACAACGTCAGGTAATCTTTATTTTTTAAATGTGCAACAATTTTGGATGAAAAATTTAGACTTGGTTTGCAAAGGCCTTTAGACTCACAGATCAGTCTTAAAGTAAACAAGCTGAAGAGTCAGTGGAAACTAATTTTGAAGCTGTCTGGAAGCTAACAGTTACAACAGCTCAGACAAGTTGGGACCACCTGGGAAACCTCACTAAATGGCAAAAGAGCCAGGGTCAGGTGAAACCACCTCTAGGTGGCTCATACTCGTCTGAAATATTCCACATTAGATAAAATACTCTCTTTCATGTGCCAAAGCCGTTTTGACTCATTTAAAAAATCTACACCAGTGTCTCTGCTAGCGGGCAGTGACCTCCGGCTTCATCAAAGTATAATTAATGACATTTATGTCTGGGCACGCTCAATCCCAACGTGTGAGCTGTCAGCTGTAGCAGCAGCCTGTCTGATGTCGTTCAGGTCATGACAAGGGACCAGCTAAGTTCAATGTGAACAGGCGGTTTAATCAGGACCCTTGTATCCTTCTCTGGAAGCCATGAGACATCAGTATTTAACTGACTGGGACACTTCTGGGCCAGGAGTGTGTTTGTGTGTGAGCGAGCACGAGCAAGAGGGTGTGCTGAGTTGTGAAATTGCAGTTTCAAGTCTCGAGGCCTTTTGCAAGCAGGCTGACAAACTGCATGTACGTGTGTGTTGATCCGGCTCATAAGCCCGAAGCCATTGCTGTCACCAGTCACTTCTCCCACTGCAGCCACTCAAGCTGGGTGATTGATGTCTGATGCTGTGTGCACTCCCTTCTTACTTTTCTTTTCAAATCCAGATTGGATTGCAGGCGGCTGCTGATCTCCTTCACTCTGCCAATGGTGCTTGAGTGTTTCCAATTGATCACATTATCCTTTTACCGCAGGCGGTGTGGCCAGCAATGGATAATTTTCTTATTTAGTACAAAAATATTACAAAAATTCCTTTTGCTAGGACAGGCTCTAGCCGCCTGTGTCCCTGTTTGTGTATAAATGGGTATGTAAAATTAAAAGGGTGGTAGAGATAACCCTGACCCTGATAATGGCAGGTACATTTTCTGTAAATATGTGCTTGCATTCACTGAGTTCACTTTAACATAGACTGCTTATTGATGTGGATTAATTGTAGGGGTGCAAATTTTAAGCAATCCCTTTAACTGACAGTTGGCCACTTTGACAGTCTATTATCAGTTAATCATTAACAACTTATGAAAAACATAGGATGTTTTTCCATTAGAAAACAGTTTTTGCCATGGACATGATCTACGTTTGGCACAAAATCAGAGAATGCTACATTAAGAGTTAAGAGTTAAAAGAAAAGATCAAGTAAACACCAAGTTACTTGAATGATAAAGTAAATAACACAAAATCATGACTTCATCTAAAATTGTGAAGCTCCCATCTGTCGCTATACTTTGGCCCAACAAAGTCCAATGTAGTACAAACAGCAAACAGCTGCACTACCTCCAGTTTCATTATAGGGCATTAATTAGATTAGACAAGATGTGTTGGACAAGTCTAACAATTAATGAACATTTAATCAAAACTCCTGTCGCCTTCTACGGTGAATAACCCGCAACTTTATTGAATAAGTGTAAAACAGGTTACTCCAATCTCCCTGCAACAGACTTCGGTCTGACCAGTTTTATATAAAATAACCTGCAGACTAGATTTACATGATGTAGTGGTGTGTTGTACACTGGAGCTGATGTGCCGAGCTGCTGCAAACAGCTGTTCAGCCGGACGAGATGTCCCAGAGATGAACAATAACGTTGCTCCTACTTTATCTGTCCATTTACTGCCACCTCTAAAATGCAGGGGAGTGTTGCTTTAACAGTTCCTCACTTCTGTGTTGATTGTGACAGAAGCATGTGTTAGAATCCTGCTAAGTGAGGCTTTTCAGACTGCTTAAACCTAGCTGCCGGTTCTGTTCAAGATGCTAGTTTAGCGTTAGCATGAGCCTCAGATAGCTGAACTGCACAGCTACCAAACAACAACTGTAGATTTTTCACAATTTCATGCTTCAGAAATTATCAACACCTCCAACACCATCAACAGTTGCGTTTCTTTACAGTCCATTTGGGTGTTCACCAAATAAGTGACATTAGATTTGCAAACAATTCGCTCCTCTTGAATAACTCTTAAAGAGGAACAACTTGTTTCTCTGAACTCTCTTTCAGGAACAAGTCACTTGTGGGCACATATCCACTGAGCTGAAAAACAAGTGAGAGTCGCCGCTCAGTGTCACACTCTTGTTCAGCGAGCTAGCCCAATAGCACAAAGCACAGAACGAGTGAGTGCACCAATTGCTCAGTGACACAATGACCCAAAGAAGCCAATTTGGACTGAAATTGCAAAAGGTACGTTCTTAATAGCTATTTTGCGTGTCTTTTGTGATTGTGACATGTAACAGAGTGCTTAGACAGTTTGTGGAACATAGCAAACTCGCCAATTGCCCAAATAACAACTGCAGCTGTACGTGAACCAAAGGAGCTGTTCATAAGTCGGTTCGCTATTGGCAGGTGAACGTCATGAATCTGGCTCTTAAAAGAATCGATGTTCTCATCACTACAGCAAACACACATTTACCTCAAGCTCATTAAAAACTAAGAGGCTCTACATAGTAACTCAACCACACACCACAGCAAACCTACAAACAGCACACCGTGATATTTTCTGAAGTTACACCACCAGTTGTCCTCTGCATTATCGGTGAAGTCATTTTAAACTGTGAAATTATAAATGCCAATTGGATAATTGATTAATCTCTGACATCCTTCAAATATTTACATCCTGAGAAGGGTGCTGCAGTTTCACAATTTATTGGCCCATACTTCTTGAAGGCTTTTTATTTCTAACTATTTACTTGAGAGCATGCATTTGAATGTTTTTCTTCATCTTTGAAATTAAATTTTCTGTGGTGACGAGAAAATTCATGCTACGATTCAATCTGAACACGAAAGAGCCTGAAATGCCTGTGTTTAAGTGGACTGTTGCTAGCTTTTATATCATTCAAGAGTAAAATATGAGTGATCATGCTCTTATATGCACCACTCTACTTTACGTTAGTCTTCACTTACATGCTCCAAGCATCATAATGAATTCACACCTACATCTCACTAAAGTGCATGCTTACAGTTCACATGGATTTCATACACACAGTAAAACAACTTGTAGATCTGGCATTAATAGGGTATTTGGGCACAATGCCCTGCTGATTACAGAACTAGACTCTAATTGTCTCTTGTCTATTTATATATGTGTGATTATGTATATGTAGGGGTATGCATATTTCTATTGGGTGACTGTGAGGGTGTGTTCTTGTGCAAGTGTATCTGTGTTCTTGAGGAATGGACAATAGGTTTGGGTAGTTTCACATCATTACAGTATACCAGGGTATTTAGAAATCCCAATGGTATGATTTTCAGTAAATATTAATTTTTCTATTAAACTCATATGAAAAGGCTGTTTAGATGATGTATTGGTCGTAGTGTACATCGGTCAGTCCCTTCTGCTGGAACAGGCAGCTGAGCTACCAAACATGGCGACTGTCAGTGTTGGGGATAACTTTACAGGACTGTAAACCACCGGCTAGCAGCAGAGAGAGAGGCTACTGGAAAAACAGCATATTTTCAGATATAATTCTGTGAATTAAGTGTTTATTTTGACCAAACTAGAGCTGGTAATTCTTGAAACTTTGGACTAACTATCTAAACTACTAACAAGATTTACTAAGACAGTTTTGGTGAATTTTATTTTGTTACTGTTGAGTTCGAGTGAAGTGAGCATTCGTGAGTAAACAAGGCTTGTCTTAGTTCACTAAAAGAGCACAAAAATATTCATATATCATATACCGCACCATACAGTATGTCATATACTGTATACCCCAGAGAAATTTCAGGAAGGTATGATGATGTGAAAAAAAAGATACTGTCCCAGCCTAATGGACAATGCACACACTGTGGAAACAGATTTCTAGGTTGGGGACATTAAGTCTATTTGTCTACATAAAACACTGTCAGTGTACACATTATTCAGCTAATGTAAAGTAAATCCAATATTTTTTCAGTAATCATAACTGATTTTGTTTCCTGCATTTATCAGCTTTTTGCCTTTAAATTTATTTTCAGGAGTATTGCGGCTGTCATTGTTCTAGTGATTTCAAATTAAACTGTTTAATTGCAGAGGAACAGCAGTCAGTGCAACAGTTCCCACAGTACCACTCATTATGGTAATGACGATCACACCATGTGCAGGTATTAGGGGAACCTAAATTGTAATATCACTGAAAACAGTGAATTAGGCAAAGTATGAAATACATCTCTTACTTTGCCAGCTTTATAGCTACAGAGGGAGTATGGAAAATGAGCGTTCACAGCCACAAAACATTTAGAGTACTTGGGGAAAAAAGGGTGTGTTGGTGTATGCGTGATGGACGCACCTGTGCCACAGCCACTTGTGTCTGCTGCTGTTGCTGCTGGAGCTGCTGTTGGAGCAGCTGGATCTGGTGGTGGACAGACAGGGGGGCACCTGGTGGCAGTGTGCCCGATGCAGGGAGCAGCATCCTGGGGCTGGACATCAGCAGAGAGGCCTCCTCTGAAGCCTGAAACCAGGGAGAGGAGAACTAGATTAAGTCAATATTTAGTGACCAAGTAAAACGTTTAACAAGTAGCCAAAAACAAAGAAAGAATTATTTTTGAAAAATCTAATACTTCATTTTATTTTAGTTATTTTGATCTATTTCACAAACTTTTCCCTAAAAATGTGTCTGATCTTAAGCAAGTTAAGAAAAATTAAAATGAAGACTGATATCAGTTTTCAAAACTTGTGAAAAACTTGAGTTCACAAAAAGTTACAAGATTGAGGATGCAAATACACACAGGGAAAAAAAAGGAGTGACTAATGAATAAAATAAATATAATCAGGACCAGCAATAGCATCAATGAAATGCCTTGGAGAACAAGTCATCATCAAAACAAGAATCTGAATTTGAAATGTAGAACTGCTGATTAGTTGCACCAGTGTGGAATGAGCGGTGCTGAGAATGCAGATCAGCGGCACTGAGATGCTTCACTCCAACAATAATGAGCTTTGGGACTCAGTTTTCATCCATCTAAGGCTATCAAGCATCCTAATTGTTTCAAGGCTCTAGTAACCAGTCACACATTGTGCCCTCTTCACCATTCATCCAGTCAAAAATATTTTTTGTTATGCAGATACGGTGCATTAATCACAAAACGGATAAGATAAGGAATAGGCATCATCTGATATTTAAGGGTAATTATTAAATCCAAGCTAGCAACAAGTGGAAGTATGAAAGAACCACATACAGTATGTAAAACACCTCATTGCTCCAAAGTGGACAATCAAATTTGATCTTCTACCGCTGAGTGAAAACAGGAATACAGTGAAGAACACACAAACTATGGCTTTGTCCAAATTTCCTCCTTAATCTCCTCCTGAAAGTGGCCCATAAAAAAAAACCCCACCATAAGATGTAGGATGTGCATCTCTTTGCCAGATGACCTATGAAGTACATTTGGCACTGTTGGGAAGCCAGTGATGGATCACAACAATTGGTCAGGTTGGTATTAAGGAGAAAGGTGGGACCTTAGGGGTATAACCTGAACCTCTAATGCATGTAATGGCCAAAAGCCATCTAGCAAATGACCGACATAAAATAGATACATGGGGCATGGACGCTATGTGTCTCATAGGCTGAACGGGGTGTTTACCTGCTGCACAGATTCTGTTTTTGCAGTGTGTGGTTGCTGTCAGCTTCACTGAGTGCATATTGTGTTTTGCCAAGTGATGATGTTGTTGATTATGCAGGGGTTGGAAGTGTAGGCTATATTAATTGCTACTGAATTAATTAACTGGATTGTTTTAAAGACAGGATGCACTGATTTATTTTAACCTGTAATGTAAAACACACAAGGTTGCTCTGCTGCTTTGCATTGCCTCTGGTACACTGCGGTGTTCATTTTAACCATTTTAAAACAGATTGTACTAATTTTTATACAATTCTATGTAGTTTTTTTTATCTGTTGGAGGGCTGCAGAGCGGGCGGCATGGTGGTGTGGTGGTTAGCACTGTCGCCTCACAGCAAGAGGGTTGCCGGTTCGATCCCGGGTGTGGGAGCCCTTCTGTACGGAGTTTGCATGTTCTCCCCGTGTCAGCGTGGGTTCTCTCCAGGCACTGCGGCTTCCTCCCACAGTCCAAAAACATGCAGACTGGGGACTAGGTTAATTGATAACTCTAAATTGTCCGTAGGTGTGAATGTGAGTGTGAATGGTTGTCTGTCTCTATGTGTCAGCCCTGTGATAGTCTGGCGACCTGTCCAGGGTGTACCCTGCCTCTCGCCCGATGTCAGCTGGGATAGGCTCCAGCCCCCCCGTGACCCTCAAGAGGATGAAGCGGTTAGAAGATGAATGAATGAATGAATGAGGGCTGCAGAGCCACATGTAGAGAAATAAAAAATTGAAAGAAATCTGCTGCATAAAAATAATGTTGAGCAGCTCGATGCCCACACAGGGAAGTGCAACTTCCATGGTCATTGAAGCAGCTTCAGTTACTTAGCAGCACGCTGCAGCAGACATGCCGCGGTGCAACCATGTCCCATGTATTTTGGCTGTAAGGGTTCATCTTCCATATGAAGGTTGTGTATGCTACATTAGAGCATTTATACAGCAGCAAACCACTATTATCTATGTAAAGATATAGTGGAGTAATGGCGTCCTGAGCAGAGAATGAAGTCACACTCCCTTTGTGTGTGTTGTAATCAGTTTCAATGTTCTTTGTTGTGGTAGGCTGCGCATGCATGTTAGTATATGTGTGTATATCATTAGCTTGCTCATTGTCATCACTCTGCACTCTGCCAGCACTGTTGCTGCTGTGTAGTGCTGCTGTTTATAAGATAAGATAAGATAAACTTTATTGTCCCAAGTGGGAAATTTGTTCTGGGCACATAGTGCGACAGAGCTGCACAGCAGTTACAACCATTATATACAAACAAGACACACAGTAGACAACCATGTAGTATGCACAGCACAGATTTGAATAACATAATAGTGCAATTATGGAGTTATTAACGTTAATTGCTGGTTGCCAGCTCAGCCAGCTCCTTGTTGAGAACAGTTTCCAGACAACTCATACATTCTGATTTTCGCATAGTGCCCCCCTGATCGATTACAAAAGTCTTGACCCCATTTACACTGACTTATTATTTCAAGTGTCTCATAACAGAATAAAGCACCAAAAAACTTACATTTGGGAGGAGTAAAGATCACATATACATATTGGAGAGATAGATGACTCTTTTGCTATCAAAGCTTTAATTATTGAATAGCAGACACAACTAAGATGTATACTTGACAAGTGGCCAGAAAGAAAGATTCAAACATTAATGGCATGACATGGACAATTTGTATGAAGTGTAAAATGGCTATTTCATTCCTCAACCAATTGAACGTTATATCAGAAAGTAGTTCCTCCCAGGATGTTTTGTGTATCAGACAGTGTAAATGTGGTGGTGTTGTTTTTGTCATATGAAACATGTCGCCCTGTGATGCAAGACAAATCCAATCCAACCTTATTCAACAGGCACCAACAGAGTTGATGCAACAAGGGGAAACATGGAGATGAGACTGTTTATGAATGAGGATCATATTGTACTGGTAATCTATTTAACACAGCATACTTGTTTGCTTTTCATTAGTGAAGCACTAATGTTGGTTAGCCAGCAAATTCTTGCTACAAAGTATTTTTTTTTTAATACACATGAAACAAAGAACTGTGCATTGCGTGCTTTCCATTGACTCTACAACTTTAGCTTTGTTGGTTTCTGCTGGTGTCACATCTACTTCTTCAGATCCACAGCAACTGGTCGCTGGATGTTAGGCATTTTAACATTTTAAAATTAGTCTCATGGCTGCCAAGTTTGCACAATTAAGGCGTTGACTGAATCTGAACTATGTCACCTTACTAAGGGGGGATTCAAGGCACTTCAAAGTGAGTGGAGTCACAACGCCAACGTTGACACCTGATTGAAATAAACCTGAACCTGCCTTAAGGAATCCATGCCAAAAGACTTCACCATCTGTCTCTCCTTAAGCACCTTCTGGTGACAAAGAAAATGATGCAAGCACACACACACACACACACACACACACACACACCATGATAGGAATATATGACTGATGGCCTGTCTGAGCCAGATCTTTTAGGTTAATGAGAGGGAATTATCCAAGCTGACAGGTTGTTTGGTGCCATCACATAATGAATAGCAAGGCAAAAGGCTGTGTGTGTGTGTGTGTGTGTGTGTGAAAGAGAATTTGACTCCTCAGAAACATGTCAGATCACAAAAAATGAGCCCACTCTCTTGAAGTGCTTGTTTAAAACAGACACATCATTCACCTTTTTCACAGAGGCTACTTGCAGACACATGAACCGACACTCAGCCCACTGAGTAAAGGATGTTAAACAAGATTGCTGCTTTCCCTTTGAAACAGCGAGTGTTGTCAGGCAAGCAGGGAAGGTTCAGTGACTGGAAGAGTGAATACAATGATTCAACAGTCAAACAGAGAAGAGGAATGGTGACATGTTTGGCTTTCAAGCACGGTGGACACAGGAACACTTCTCAATTATAGAGAAACAGAAAAAGAAACAGACTATCAGCAGCAGCATAATATGATACAACACAGATGGAAAGGAAATCCCATTTTAATATACATTTGAGCAGTCTTCCACAACATTATCCCATAAAAACATCTCTTTTACGGTTCTCTCCCACCAGTTCTAATAGTAGTTTAGCCAATAACCACTTATATAGATACAGTCGGTGTTTATGAGAACAGCCATAAAACATAAAATCCTTTTAAGCCTAGGGGAAAAACAAAGCATTCGTTATCATGCCGTGGCTTTCTGCGCGTCAAAAAAACTTAAAAATCCAGGGGTAGAGGGTATTGTTCAACCTGGATGTTTTTCCCCATGTTTTGTGTCAAAGTGATTAATGGGAAAACATTTTTTGAAATTGGTCCAGTATTGACAAGAGCAGAGGCCAGGCTGCAAAGTAAACACCCAGGGCATGTTCGCACTCAATTCGCACGTCAATTTACATCCACTAAAGTGCTTCTTTTGCCACCAACATGCTCGGATTGATATAAATGTTTGACAAGATTATTAAAAGGATTCTTTTTAACCAGAAACAGCCCCAATATCACAATCATCAAACCCACCAGACTCCATTTTAATTAATAACAATAATTTTCAATCATCAATCACCTACTATGGTTTGGTTAAAATAAACCCTTCATTCACCCAGTTAGATATGACAATATGCTGGCTTAATACATGCTAAAATTACTGTTTATCAGGGATGCGCCAATTTTTAAATTCTGGGTCGGTACCAATATCAATGTTTAAAATAACAATTTTGCTGGTAGCCCCTATTAATGTTATTTTATTGCTGTTTATTTTTGTTGTGATTTGTTCCCACTTTTGTGCAGGGGAACAAAGAAATATACATTATACAAACAAAAAAAATGAACTGTTTTTAAGAAATTAAGCCCTTCATTACACTTCCTTTGAATGAGCACAAATCCA